CACCGCAAAATTCAACCTCCCCGTATTCCTCTCTGAGAGCATCAACAGGAAAGAAAATTGGCATACTTCTTCCCCTCTCACCACAGAATCGCTCCAGAAAATTTGAAGGTCATTCTCTCCGGGGCCGTGGAGAACGCCGAGTCTCGTTTTCGGAGGATGTGAATTTCATTCCGTTTTTTTTATTTTCTCCCCCACCCGGGGGGGTTTTGGGGGGAAAGAGACCAAAGACTCAAAATGACGAAAAGTGGCAGTTTGCGATGCTCCATTTCGCCATAAAAATTAAATTAGCTGTCATTGAATTAAGCTTAAGTACTTCCTACGGTACCGTCTCGCAGTGTTGCGGATACCGTACGGAAACTATGCTTTCCAAGGGGAAAGCGATTGAAAATTGGGTTTCACATTATTCATTTTGCACATTAGCCATAGCTCAGCGAACACTAGTTTGCACCAACGTTTGACGTATTGGCTAATGTGCCCCCAGTAGATTCCCAAACTCCTGTCTGAAGAAAGCGCAGCGCCAGAGGATTGCGCTTATACAATTGATTCGTTACATCGAAGGCGACCACTTTACACACCGCATCACTAATGATGAGCCCTATTGCCACCATTACAAGCTGGAAACGAAGCTGCAAAGTCTCCAGTATCCGAGCTCTCCACCTCGAAAAAAGATTGTCTGCACCCACGGCTGGGAAAGTTCTGCTCACCAACAATCTCGTACTATGTGGAATGCTCTGTTGAGCATTGCCGGCGGTTCATTTTGAAGCGGAGAAATACAAACATCGGTACAGTTGTTGCCATGATGGTAAGGTGTTCCATGCGGACCCATTGGAATACCCACCAGTTTAAAACGCTGTCGATTTGGGAAGACGCAAGGGCTCGTAATTTTCACGAGTTCATCAGGCAGTTTAAACGCGTTTACTTCCATCAATGCGATAACTGTTGATATTACTGGCGACCCATACTGTTTCGAAATATCAGGCGAGGTGTAACACATGGTTAAGACCGTCCTACAACAATTTCATGATGTTCCTATGCTAAGTCTAACGGCGCATGCTCAGTTCTACGTTTGCGATGCGGAGAAAGCGGTTCAATTGTAGCGGTGCGTGAACATTCCTGACGGAGTACATCGCTCGGGCCAGGTGGCTCTAGTACAGGGGTGCTCAACTGTTTGGTGGGAAGGTCCATTTAACTAATGTACTTTCCTGGATGACTCTTTTCGCCCTTCTTAAAGATCGGTACGACGTTTGCTCGTCTCCAGTCCTTAGGTACTTCCCCGCGCGAAAAGCTGCTTTCGAAAATAATTCTTAGCGGAACCGATATTTCTCTCGCGGTTTCCTTAATGACTCTCTTGGGAATCCCATCGGGGCCGGTCGCCTTGCCCTAAGCCAACTTCCCTATCGTGTTCACGATCGTCTCCTCGGTGATGGAAATATCCTCTTAGCGCGCCGAGGTCACCTCCTCCAAAGTCGGTGCCGAGTCGGATTCCACAGTGAAAACGGAAGCGAAGAACTCGTTAAGTACTCTATACTGGCCGTATCCTTATCGCTTGCAATCGACTCCCTCTTTTCGTTCATTAGCGGCCCGATCGACTGTTGACACCTACCACTAGCATACCGATAAAAAGCCTTAGGTTCTTCTTAGCATCGCTAGCCAGCCGTTCCTCTCGCTCCCGTCTCGCAGATCTAATTTCCCGCTTCAACGTCCGCGCGATCCTCCTATATTCCTCATGGTCCGTGCTATCTCCCGTCCGCTTGTACGCATCCCATTTCCGCTTTTTATCCCCGATGAGAGCTTTGATTTTACCCGTAAACCAGACCGGTTGCCTGCCCGATTTTATGGATTTCTTGGGGATGCATTCCTCCATAAAGCCCTGCAATAACGTCTCGAACGCCCCCCACTGCTCCTCTACCGTCTGCCCACGGAGCCGCACCTCCCAGTCGATGCCCGAAACGCATTCGCGTAGTCTCTCGAAATTAGCCTTCTTATAGTTGTACGAAACCTTCCTTGGTTTGGCCTTACTCTTCGTCCGCTTGATATTCCACGTGATCGCGCAGTGGTCCGAATCTCCCAAGTTATCCTGTACCTTAACGTCTCGTGCCAGATCGTCGTTCGTCGCAAAAACTAAATCCAATCAAGCTTCTTCGCGAGTCGGCTCATTTACGTACTGAACGAGAAGAGCGTCCTGAACC